ACGACATATATTAATAGAGCAGAGGAATAGGAGTGGAAGAGATCTTCAACTTCAGCTTTACACTCCAATCGTTCCTATATATATATGTAAACTCTAATCATCTTATCATAGGCCCTTAAGTTTTGTATAAATACAAATATGACCCGATTACATTGTATTAAAAAAAAAAAACTCTCAACTTTCAACTTTTTTCTCTCTTTATACATGTAAGCCTCTCACACTCACCCATGAGTGGCGTTATTAGGGCACAACGCAAAAAAGCGTGAGGTGGATGTAATGATATGCTCACACATCATTGTATATTACATAATCATAAAATTCAAACAAATAAATTAACGGTCAAGTTGTCGCACGCAGATTAAACCCCTATAAACATCCTTTCACCACTGATGAAAGAAACGACTTATACTATATGATCACGAAGGGATCGACACATGATTTGTGGCAATGGGCCGCAAAGCGCGTGACCCAATTTCGTGTGCCGCCGGAGACGAAGGATGGTCCAATGAGGGTCTCTGTCGCCTAGGAGAAAGCCTATTTCTTTGAAAAACGCGGAGACCTTTGATGGTACCGCCTGCGACTCTGGCTGGCTTGACCACATCGTCTTCTCTCATCAGTGCAGGCGCACCAAACAAGCGAGCAAAAGCTCTTCCCAAAACCATCACATGGCACACACACAAGATTCTGCGAGCAACAGCTGGACTTCTTTTTTTATAAGTCAAATCAGAGCTGTTTTTCTTATTTAAATTTAAGTTTTTCTTAAGTCGTTTCGTAATTTTTGTCACCTTATATCTCTCTCCGAGGAACTTACAATAAGCATTCACTGCGGCGAATCAGGTTATGGTGCATGTCTAAAATATCTATTGTTAGTACAGGTTCTTTTACTATCTAATTTACGTAACGGTGTGCTTGATTACATTCTCGAATACAAGACCTCGAAAACCCTCCGAAGAACAAGTGGAAGGTAATAACGCGAGAACAAGTAGGTATATTCAATAATTATTAACACTGGACTTACATCCAAGACTTGTGTCCCTTGTGTTTGTCCGGCCACCTCTGTTTATCTTTATATTTTTAACTTATTTATATTTATTTTATTTTGTTTTATTATTACACAATAATATTTTATTATCATCGAATATAATCACAGCCATCAGCATTTCCTGAGTTTCTCATTATTTTCTTTACAAAAAACGAGTAAAGTACTTGAAATTCCACCCCTTACTGTTTTGTAAATAGTTGTTTTCATTATTTCATACAATATTACTACGGTGATCACATTTTTTTCAGATTTTTTACAATTTTCAATTCATAAATTTCGAAAACTACTGTTTACAAATGCGACAAAAATGTAATGAAATTAATTCAAGGTTTTAATAAAAGTTTTGAGCTAAACGATATAAGTTATTACACACACACACAAAAACGCTCTTACATTCTTAGAAAATTGCCTATATTGAACCCCTAAAAATAGTTAATGTTTATTGTATTTTAATAAACTGTACCAACCTATTCTCATCTAATTTAAAAACTACAAAATTAAGTATAGGTACATAATTTCGTTTTCGTTGTAACTCGTCTCAACTGGAAGAGCGATTACTCCATCGGCTATTGACTCCCACTGTATCCACTACTACAACTTTGAAACAATCTCAAATAAAATGTAGAAAAATTTTAATTAACCTGTACTTCTAACTCTAATTAAATTTTACCACATGGTTTTGTTAGTTATTAGAAATAGATTGCAGCATCAAACTTCCAATAAAACATAAGTTTATAATGAATTAAATATATTTACTTTCTATAACTAGTTTAACTGCGGATATCCTTCCTGAATCTATTTTTTATTTATTTTTTTTATATATACCATTATTAAGTTTAATAATTTTTCACGCCTTTGTAGACAATGATTTAATTTTTTTCATTTCTTAAAATACCTATACCTATTAACTTATTGCGGGCATCACTATACAGACCCCTTGCCATTTATTATTTTTTTTATCGTATTAAAGATCCTTAATTTATATGCATTATTTATACTTTTATTTTCAACCCCCATTCCCCAACTGACACCTCTGATCTTATTTTATGCTTTCATTTGTTTATTTAATCTTTTTGGTTTGTTATTTAACGTAGACAAAAAATCTCTGTTTCCTCTTTTCATATTTCTATAGTTAATTTAAATATTTTGTTTTGTTTTTTAAAATACAATTATTTGTAAGTAAGTACCTATAAAGTTCCCTTCTAGTATTCTTACAAGTTACATTAATAAGAAACTTATAAATTAATATATTTTTGCATATTTATAATTATTTCTATTAGCAATCACTAAGTAACATCTCAATAATCATTCTATAATGAACTTAATAATTATTAATTCAATGGATTTAATGATTTAAATATAAAAATAGATTAGAATATCCACTATTCTGTTTTTATTAAAATATAAATTGTAAATTACTCACTAATTTTTTTTTTTAACTTTTTAAAATGATTTGCTTGTAGTCGTTCCTGTTTCTCATCAATTCATTTTTTTTTTTTTTAATTGTATTTAAAATAATTTATTTTTATTACTTTTTCATAAAATTCTATGCCACATTTCTTAAACTTATTTACAATTATTATACAATGTATTATGTAATATTATACCTAGGTATCTGTCTAAAAATATAATGTAACAATTAACATTAAAATTTAATGAGTAAATAACCATACAAAGAACCAAATATTTTGGGTTGGAGGGGGGTAAACACCCAAATCACCCCTCTGTGTATATCCCTGACAAACACATATAGGTACCTTCATTTTTTATGAACCAAAATAATATATCATAATAATAGTTGTATTTAACTTAACAACATTTTTATGTATATCAACATATAACATATAACTATCTACATAATAAAATAAAATAATATTGGAATAATTACAAATTTATAGTTGAATGTATCAATGTAAATTTATTTCATAAGTTATGATAAACATGATAAAGTAATTAATAATTAATAATTGAAAACTTTTGAAAATATTTAGTTTGAACATATTAACTTAATAGAACAACTGATATTGTACATTTGAATTTATACCTACTTAATTTATTTTAATAAATCCAATTTTTATACTTAAAACAAACACTAATAACCACATCACAAACTACATAAATCATTGTTTCCACATTATGAATTTATATTTTCTTTTTGTACATATACTAATAAAAGATGATGAATATTTAATAATAACCAAGTTTTGATGTAAATTTTAAAATTTCAGAGCAGACTAGAGGATGGGGCAGAAATTTCCAGGGAGGGCAATGGTCAGCTTAGGCCTGCTACCACTGTAAATACATAATACTTGAGTAAATATTCAATTCTTCCTCGATTATATCCACTATAAGCTTGTCCCTTAAAACATTCTAGCTATGACTCAATGAGATATTGTCTCACAAGTCACAATTATTCTCTTACATCACCACTGAGACTTAAAATTCACCTATGATGGAATATATATTGTCAAATCATATTTAGAGCAAGTACTCATATAACAATAAAATTGTCAAACACATATGCTAGACTATATATGGGCATAAGCCAGATTACGCATTAAAATTTACATTATTGTTAAGCAATTCTTAGTATTAGATTTAATTTTTTGATAAATGACAATGGCCACTTGTATCAAAGAAGTAAAATAGATAGGTACCTGGTATCTATTATGTAAAAATGGTAAATTATACAAACAAAACCTGAAATTATTTTTAATCATAATATAAATTTCATAATAACACTCGACTACTTAGCTGTATTGCAACCAGATAAATATTAATTGGAATAATATGAGTGTGATCATTGAGTAAAAATAAATGATATTATAAAAATATCTACGCTTCCTATATTATGAACTTGCTTCTTTATTTAAATATATAAATAAGACTTTTAATCAATAAAACTTAATATAAACTTCATCAAGTGAAAATAAATCAAGCATTTATCATTATAAGTACCTTACAATTATAAATCTTTATTATATCAGTTTTTCAAATATAAAACTAGTCACAAGATTGAACTGTCTACATACTGCATTGCACACATACCTATTGAAAATATTAGTATAAATATCTGTATGTTCATCCATCATATTAAAATTCATAGAATCATATCACTTACAGAAGCTTTTCCTATGTATTAAGTATCTATACTTGATAAAAACAAAAAACAAAAGGCAGCAAAAAGTTTTATTATTGGTAGAGTGAAAAAATATTCATTAGAACAAATTTTAAAAAAAGTTCAATTGTTTATCACTTGTAAGTTGTAATATAATACTTACATACTGCCAAGATTTTTTAAATGATAACAAAAAAAAAAAATTGAATATTAATAGTTTATTATAAAAATACTAAAAAATGTAATCAAATTTATTTTTATACAATCAAAAAGTAATTGCTTGTTTACTTAAAATATAATATAATACTTAGGTTCATATTTTTATTTAAGGCACAGTTTAAATAAAAATGGACGGATTACAATATTGAACAAATAAGATGTATTTAGTTAAGGGGAACAGCAACAATTGAATGAGGCGGATGTATTTCATATTGGGTAAAATTGCAGGTAAATAAGGGTATTTTATTGTTATCAGATTTTATAAAAGCAGCTTGCACTACTTTGTAGTCGTTAAAATATATATCATTAATTCTATGATATGATTTTAACACATTATTCTTACATATTTATTCATTATTTTGAATAAAAAAACAATGTAACATTGAAAAATTAAAAAGATCTTAACATATTTAAAGTTTACATTATGTACCCCCTTAGCAAATGTTCAGGCGATGCCTGTGCAGATATCTTTCAAGGTGGTATGTTATATCCAATTTTTCTCAGCATATTATGTGCTTCAGATCAATCTAACACTTTTAACATATTAGTGCCTGAATACATATTCTGAGTGTTTTCATGATATCAGGTTTAAAATCTTAAATGAAATACTTGAAGGTCATATAGAATCAAATTTCATGAAACATTTTTTTTTTTTTTTTTTTATCACTGCTGTTCCCCATAAAATTCTTACATAGTAATGGCAGTCTTAACAAAATGGTTCTTAGTTAGCAAACAAAACTATCAATATACTAGATTATTTAAAAAAAAAAATACTATTTTTTAATAGTTTTAATACAAAAATGGTCTATAAAAAAAAAGTTGATAAAATGTGCTAGTATACTACAATTTCATAACTTATTAAAATATAAGAAGCTCAATATTTGGTGATTGCATTTCATAGATCACTCTGTATTGAGTGTAAACACATAACCAGCAATAAAACTAAAAATAAAACAATATATTAAAATTTAAATAATGAATTTTTCTAAACAATTATTTATATATTTATATTTTATTTAGCCCTGTAAACATACTTGCATAGCAGCTACAATCCAATAAATGACAGCAGCACATATTATGTGAATCTAAAAAATAAAACAATACCAATTTTGACATACTTAATATAAACTATATAATCATTAACTTGATTTAGAAGAATATTTATTTATTTAGTTATTATTGACACCGCTACAACTAAGATCATTGAACTAAAAGTAATAAAATAACACTTTTTTTTTAATAATATGTACACATTTTATACAATACTTGGTAATTATTTTATTAAAAAACACTTATAATATAAAAAACTATGCACATTAATGAAAATGCTTTTTTTACACAATTTTAAATTGTTACGGAACATTTAAAAAAACAAATTCAACTTTTATTATTTTTATTGATATAATTTCAGAGTATGACAATAAATAAAAATTAAAGTTTAAATGAGTAGTTAATGAATTTTAAGTATTTTAAATTTAGATTAACAAGATGGTATAGACTTTAGAGGCATAACCATATATTATGAGTACATGTCACTTCAAAAAATGTTGGTCCACTTACTCTACTTGTCAAAATGTAAACACTTATAACTAATTAACTATTCATCCTAAATTGACTTTTATATTATATTCAAATACTCTAAATAATATCCTGTTTAGGAATATAAAATTAAAAATACATGATATCATTTAAAAAAGTAAAAAAAAACTTAAAAACTTGGAAAAATATAATTTTTTTGTTTTAAAAAAATGCTAGTAAAGATTTGATTATAAAATAAAAGTATTATCTAAGACTTAAATAGTTTTAAAAAAAATGAGAGTATTACAATAAATGAATTACCAGGAATATCTATAAGCTATAATATATATTTTATGAATTGATTATTAGGTAATATATACATTGTACAATGTATATTAACCTAATATTATGGAACTACTTGATTTCAATAGGCAATGTAGCCAAAATTAAACATTATACCGACTATTTGAAATGGACTAGTCTATTTTGGGCAATATAAATAATGTATTGCCTCTTCAGAAACAAAATGCTTAAAATTCAAAAGTATTGTACTAAAAAGACAAATAATTGAAACATAAAATTATTAACTAAGATAAGCAATGTTAAAATTTTATTTTTAAAGAATAATATCATAAAAATTACTTACATAAATATAGTATCCATATAGCAGCCAAATGGACCAAACCAGCAAAAATATTACAACAAATCCCATACCAATTAACCATGGTAATAGAAATCCTCGTAGATTATTACTTAAGCCCTTCAGCAACAATAGAGATGAACCCACCATATAGGCAAAAAATATTAAAGTGTACACCACATAATAATTGAGTTCTAGACAAAAATATATAATAAAAATGCAATAGATTAAAAACAAATGTGAAAAAATAAATTTAATAAATTATGGCTCTCTAGAAAACCCATTGAGAGTAATTTACACATCTTTCTAATAATCCATAATACAGCACAACTTAATAGAAAACCTCAGTACAATCTGATCAGATCTATTATTATACAAGCATCAAGTTTCTATACTCAAATGCCAAATTATTGAATCATATTAAATAACTAAACATTAAAATAATATTATAGGTTAGATAGAAAGAATTACTATTTTGAAGATTTTTTTTTTAATAATTAAAATACAATTTAATAAAAGAATATAAATACGTAAACTATGATAAAATTTATCTAAAATGGTCGATGTATAAGCTGGAAAAAAAATAAAAGAATAGCGACAATTACACTTATTAATTAATTATTAGTTATTATTATAACTTGTCTTGAGGTAAATGATGTGTAGAGTATTAAAGTAATGCAGATTAAGTTATTAAGTAAAATAGCATTGTATTGGATTTATTTCAATTCATAATGAAATTAACTTTTATATTTTGCTTGAATGGTAAAAAATTGTTAATAATTAGTTATTTAATCTTTAAAATACACTAAAATCTAAACATGGATATGTTCTAATGATCACTACACTTAAACACAATTAGAGATATTTTAAAATATGTTAAGTTGATACACACATAAAACTATAAAACTTAGATGTGTAAAAATGGCCATGACATATATCTTATCAATTTTAATGCAGTGAATAATGAATATTTTTAGTTTAGACACACTAAGCATCAAAAAAATGATTCATTTTGTCCTAGTTCAATCTTCTTAGAATGTATACTTAAGAGACATTTTTGCCTATCTTAAATCTTAGGGACTTAACTGTTTTCTTTTAATTACATACCACGTAAATTGGCTTCAAAAAAAGGATTATACATTTGTGTTGATTCACCTCCATTTTGCATATGAACAAGAAGTGCCATTAAAAAAATTGATATCGCCTAAAAATAATTAAACAGTTATTTATATACTAGAAAAATAAAAATTTATGTATAAGCTTACAATTGTGTATGCTGCTACAAATTTACAACCAGTTTTCACGTCCGGATACACAACAATAGGTGTCCAAAATGTTTTTAATAGAGTCATTGTTTTTTTTTTTTTTTTGTCAACAATCACAATAAAATCTACAAAATAAATAAAATAAATTTAGAAAAAAATTATTTAAAGCAACAACCATTAGATAATTTGCTTTTTTATTATAACCTCAAATGATTAACCAAGGTAAATACATACAAAGTAATAATAGTCCTAAAATAACTATTAAGTGTATTATGAAAATAACTGAAAGTTTATAAGAAATATAACATTTAAAAATCTGGACAATTATTTACAATTTTGATTTTAATTAAAATAAAAAAACAAATTTGTTGAGAAGTGAAAACTACTGTCATTAATTTTAACAATATAAAAAACAAATGGTTTAATAATTGCATTAAAAAAATTAGAATGTTATTGGATAAGTAGGTATAATATAATTTTATAATGTAAATATAAAAAGAAAATGAGAACCATATAACATGGAAGCAAATTTGAAATGTATTACAAGATATATTGTTAAAATAAAATAAATATAAGTAGCATTTTAATTATGATATGGGTAATGTATAAAAAATTTAATATATTATAATCAATATCAAAACGATTCTACGAGGATATCACGATATCAAGGCAAGTCATTTTTAATGTTACACAAAAAATAAACGTCGACAAAGAAGATGAGCATGAATTTCTGTAACTGGTAGGTAATACTAAACATAATAACACTTGTGTCAAACAAAGTATGACCAACAAGTGTCAAAAACAGTACACAAATAAATTAAGTAAAAAGAGAAAACCAGCTAATAAATCTACCAAAAGTATAGACCATGACTGTGCTTCAAAAAAAGTACTTACATAATAAAAATACAAAAATGTACACCACCGCCGAATTATCTTACTACCGTTATATATTATTAGTAACCACCAAGTAATAGGCTTTAGGGCGTGTTCCAGTAACTGTCACCGTTTAAATGATAAATTCTGCTTACGAGTAACGACGTCAGTCTAGCGCTTCTTCGTTCGTGTTCAGTGTCAATATGTACTGAAATTTGCCAGTTTGAATTAGCGATTAACCAGTAATCACTATAAAAATAGGCAGTTGGTCGACGTATCGATCTCTACTTCTCTAGATGATCTAGTTGAACTTAGCTCTTGAGAAGAATGGAATTCGTTAATTATTGGACTGATATGATATTATCACTTATCATCAGAAGCAATATAAATTGAAGAATTAATATGATGTTACCATTGTTCACCAATGTTGCCAACAGATATAATTAAAGATATTAGTAACAGGAACAAAACATTACAAAAAAAAAATCCAACCAATTATTTTATATACCTACTTAAATAATTTAATATTTATGAAGATATGCAAGCCGGTAGGAAATAATATTAAGAATCAAACATCAAGATTTATACCATGGGCGTCCTTAAAAAGGAGAAGGCACGGAGCACTTGCCTCCCAAGAATTTTAAATTTGTTTTCCCAAGCATTAATGTATTACGCATTAATTTAGTAAAAACAGAATGGTGAATACCTACTTTAATTTTTAGTAAATAGTATAAAACTCTCTTTAATAATTACTAGATTATTTAATTTTATCGTAATATGAATGCTCACATGGCAATAAATAATTAGCCACTACACGATAATATACCTAATACCTAAAAAGCAGTGCCGCGTTAACTCAGGTACAAAAGAAACAATTGCTCCAGACTCGGCAAATTTTGAAAGTCGACAAAAGATTTAAAATACCTATTTGAAAAATAAAATGTAACAATGATTTTTTATGAACACTTTTTTAGTTTAATATGTACCTAAAAAAATAGTTAAAAATGAGATAAAATAATTTCAGTTTTAACTTTGTAATTTTTATTAAAACTCTACTTATATTATTATAAATTGTCTAATTCCTATAATAAGCATTGAATGATACACTTAATTACACGAATCAAACATTCGCATATAGTGGTGTGTGTCAAGTTTCAAGATTCAAATATTACATGAAATATGTTTTTAAAAAAAAAAAAATGGTTTTTTTGAGACCTCTGGTTATAAAATATTCGAAAATCATACTGATGATTACATAAAAAGGTAGACCGACACTGCATCAAACAACTTAACTTTTTTCAAATAAATTTACAAGTACCATAGACTCTAAAAAAATGGAAATACTAAGTTATTAATAAGAAAAAAATCAACAATTGGCTGTGAGCTGTAAAAATAAAAAAAATTACACATTTTTTTTTTTTGTGCTCAAAGTTTTTTGACAACACATCAGTTGGTGAATATGAAGTTTCGAAAGTTAAAACTTATATTCCTTCTCCTAGACATCGCATGAACGTATTTTTTTTTTTTTTGAAAAAAAAAATGGTTTTTCGAAACTTTGCAGATGTAAAATTTTTAAAAATTATATTAATGATTACATAAAAAGGTAAAGCGACACTGCATCAAATGATATAGTTTATTTTTAACGACTTTTAAAACATATTACTACCTAAAAAATCATTTTTTTTAATTTTTAAATAAAAACTGAAAAAAAGCGACAATAGGCCATTATTAAAAAAAAACTGCATATATTTTTCCTTTTTTTTCGACGCTACTATCCCTGCGAGTTTGGTGAGCCCATTACAAATATCACGGAACTGGCGACCTCATTGTGCATTTTTGGTCTACCGCAGGACTCATCCGGCAAAAGCTAAAAGTTCTCAACAGGGGGGTAGCTCTCGATTTTTTGTCGAAAAAACGACCGTCCCCCGATCATCTCCAGCTATTACGACCCTGTGGAGGGCCATATAGACTCCGTGTTACCAAGGTTTAAACCCGTTCACACCATTATATCGTATTATACGTCGATCCGCGTACAGTATTATGCTAAATAATGTATAATTGTGTAAAATCAACCCTTTGTCCAATCGTTTTGAAACTTTCACAGATCGTAGCAAATATCCCGGGCAACCGTTCCTGCGAGTCTATATATTGTACCGGATGATTCTATATATATTAACAGGGTAAGTCTAATATATGTTGAACCGGGTGAGTCTATATATATATATATATATATATTCTGTATACATCTGACTTAATACTTTTTTTAAAGACCGGGGTGATTGAGCTGATTATCTAGGCATATGGGAATAGAAATACCTATACCTGCATTGAGTGATTTATCAAATAACAATAAAATTAGATAAACAATGGAATCTGATAAATTGGAGAGAAAATAACCGGAAATCCACCAGGTCTGGGAGATTTGGATTTATATAAAAATCACTAGCCGTTAGATACTTCACTAAGTGAAATAAAATAGTGCAGAATGAAGGGAGAATGTGGTTAAATTTTTTAATTGAAGAGGTTAAGGTAGAGATGTCCAGTGGTTGAATTACTGAGGATTCATAAACTGAAGAAAATAAGAAGAGAATAGTTTAGCGATATCCCTACCGTTATTTGCAGTTTTATCGTTCAAGGAAACAGAATTAGATGTATCACGAGAGCTATTATTATAGAAAACCCATTTAAAATTGTTTTGGATTTATTTTAATTTAATTTTTAGAACGGCGTAGGTATATTATTCCGAATATAAGAATTTAGATTTAGATTTATATTACGCTCTCAAATTAGAGAAGTTTTTGTAATTAGATTTGGTTCTTTTTTATGTAAATAGAATGAGCCTTTTTTTTCTAGACTAAAGATTTGAGATTCTTATCAAACTAACTAGGAATATTGTTATTATTATTATTATTAACTTTTTTTTAGGGGGGGGTACAAAACTGGATAGAGCGTCTTGGAAAAGGTTAGCAGCTGCTTTAACATCAAGATTATTGAAATAATTAAACCAACTGATTTAAAAAATAAATTAACGTTTTTACAATTACGTGAATTATATAAAAAAATACTAATATCATTGATTGGGTGCAAAAGTGGGTATATAGTTCATAATTTATTAGGATTACAGGATGATATGGATCAATATGGACTAATAAATCAATACAAGGATATACTGTATCTTGGAAATCTTAAAATATTAAGTCTAAGACATTACCAGACGAGTTAACAATATTATTGAACTGAATTAAATTTAAAAGTGAGAAATCCTCAATAAGGGAATTTCCTGAGGAAGATGAAATAAAATTAAGAAACTTGAAACTAGTCTTGTCACCTACTCAAGTTAAAAAAGATATATTATAATCACCACAAATAATAAATTTTCTATTGGGATGCGTGGACTCCAACGATTTAATAACAGAAAGGTGGTGTGAATATAATTATACATTATTGTTAAAAGGAATGTTCACAGTACAAATTACAATAAATAGATTGAAAACTAAAACTTCTTCAAAGACTTGTTCGACATTCAAAGTGTCCATGTTGAATATATTAGAGTTATAACTTATAGGTTTTTATGATTGCGACTAAGTGAGCTAGTTATCTCATTTCTATTACAGCGGTAAATGTAGTGTTGAGTAAAACTTAACTCATTGTTGATAAAAATATTATTATTAAACCATACTTCCACGAAAACTAAAAAATCAAGTGAAAAATATGTAATTCAAATTTTTAGTAGATTAATTTTGGTACGTAAACCACGAACATTTTAATAATGGCCGGTGAAATTAAAACTAGTATGAAGCAACACTAGTTTCATCGGTCAAAGCATTTCTTCCCTTTGATTTGATTAAATCCATCATATGGAGAATAAACGTACACAAGCATTGAAGCATAAGTCGACGAAAATATTGAAAATATGGAATGAACTACCTTTATTAATGTATAAAATGTGTTTGGACTGTTTGGAGGCAAATTCCGGATTTTCAAAATTTCGTTGTATACATTTTTCATCATATTTCCTTTAAGACGATTAATTTCTATTTGTTCCAATAGTTGTCTTACATCAATAAATTTTTGTTTCCAAGTGTTATAAGATTGATAATTGATTAGCTCAAATTTAAATGAATCAATATTCATCCATTAAATTCACCCAAAATAATGTAAATCTCATTCATTGATATTACATGTATCGGGGAATTTTAAAAACTTAATTTTATATTAAAATGTATTAACTCATTAAAGGACCACTGGTTTAAAAAAAAGAACTTCGCATATTGATAAGAGTAGATATTAGATACCTACCTACAATAATTATAATATTTAAGTCATAAATAATAATTATACTAACATATATTACATTTTATATAGAAATGTTATAATTTTTAGTCATAATTTGTTTCTTTGTATTTCTTATAAGTTATAACCAACATTTTATAAATAGCATCATTTTTTATAATTTTAATTTTTTGCATTCTATTGAAATTTGACTAACGTGCCACCTTTGGCACGCGTGCCGTAGTTCACCACCCTTGGTCTAGAACTATTTTAACTAAAAAAAAAATAAAAATATTTAACCTTTAGCCTAATACCTAAAGAGGTACACATCAAAAAATAAATTATTTCATATATTTTTGTTAGGAACCCGTCTCACTTACACATTACTGTCGATTTTAACAAAAAGTGGTCCTTGACGGTGGCGCGGTTGGTGACACCATTTCTGAAATACAGAAATTCGTATTAATTTCATAGCTCTACGAAACAAAAAATGGTAGAATAACAAAATCTTCATTGTATTATTCAGTAATATTTCTACACCAATTTTTTACACAACCATAATTTTTCCATCTAAAAAATTTATTATTTACATAAATAAGTAATTAATTACAATATGTCGTGCTTTGTTTGATATGTGCTTCAAAATGTCCACCAGGCGCGCCACCGTCGAAGAGCTCTTAGTGACGTTCACTCTTAGAATCTTGGTGAAATCGACTAACTTAATTTAATTTTTTATTTACTCGTTTTTCTTTATGTATTTCACGAGATGGTTACATAAAGCTATTAAAAAAAAGTAACTACCCAGCTTTGCGGGTAAAAATCCAGATTTTTAACATCGCAACTTTTAACTCTTTAACTTGTTAAACTTTTGCAAGTACGGTAATAAATGAATATTTTATATTGCTAATAGGAATACACTGTAAAAAGTAGTTCTTTGCATCGGCCGAAACTCGGATAACCGCCTGGCGCCTCTAATGCAGTAACGAACAACGAGTAACGATTGACGGCAGTAACGCCTTTATTTTGCTTTATAAGTGGTTAACAGTGGATTTGCTGATTCATCTAGACAAGCTTTTTCGTCT